CATTTATTTTTGCAAGGCTAACAACAAATAAAATTCAGCATTCACAAATGAAATAACTTTTCACTTAATCTTGATTTGAAGCTTTCGTGACTGCAGGAATCCATACTCTTTGGTTCTTTCGGTAAAGTCACGTAGGTAGAAAAATAAAATTAAAAATAATATATCAAATAACAAAAATATATGATATATATTTTTTTCTTTTATTTTTCACTTAATCTCTGGAGGCCCTCCAGCTGACAGAGGCCCCTGGGCTGCAGTCCCTAAAGCCCATGCCTTTATCCGGCCCTGCGTGTATCCCACTGGAGGCCGGCTAACACGAATCCCATAAACTTTCGAAACGTAACAGGAGCTATCATTGAGCCCCATGAGCAAATAGTTAAAGTGGAACGGTCCGTGGGGTGTTCTAAAGGCCGTCTATGTCGACAGGAAGCTGCCAAAATTCGTACTGAAGAAATGTCGCACCTGCCCGTGCGTCTCGCACAGGGGTCGGCAAACCAAAATAACCAGAAGGGCCATTTTTTTCGAATTCGATAAAAAAGAAAACTCAATATTTCAAGAGCCGCAATGCACGTGGTGAATACAAGACCGGTGGTGCTTCGTAAATAACGCCACAAAGCAGCCCTTAAAGAGCTGCACGTAGATCCGGAGCCGCATGTTGCCGACCCCTGGTCTTCTAGCGAGTCATCAATACACGGCATGGGGAAAGCGTCAGACAACGCCACCTTATTCAATTGTTAGAAAGCAATGCAAAACCGCTGAAAAACCATAAGATATCTTTAAGAGGATCACTGGCGCCCCCCAGGGGCTAGTGCAGGGACAGATTGTGCCTGTACGCAACATTTCAATTTGACTCATTTGATATGAGTTTTGTCTCATGGGCGTCGCATTCCCCGTATCAATGTGATGTTCCCTCAGATGGGTCCGTCCCATGTAATTCATGTGTTCTGACTGAAATCGTCTCCAAATTATCGTAAAAACGCCCAAGGTTTCTCCCCCTGAGCTCTTGACGAATCTGGATTTCCGAAAGCAATGGTAACCATCCACCTGACGTCACTACTGAAAAAAGACGGTCACTGCATAGCGCCATTTCAGATGTGCTTCTGCGGCCGTCTGGAACGCTCTTTCGACATTAGGAAGCCACTGAAGATAGGCACTTTTAAATATAAAATGAAAACACATTCAGTTAAAACTGCCTTTGTTTAGTCTTGCTGTGCTTCCTTCGCACCTCCGATTAGTTCGGTTCGCTACGTACGGTGCGAAAAAAGTTCAACATACATACATTCATAGGGATCCCCTACTGTCACCACTAGTTCTGATTCATCTCGATCGAACCCGGTAAACTATAATACAAAAAAACTAAAATATGTTTTTATTTTACCAGGTAAGACCCAATGAGCTATATAGCTGTTTTTCAGAAGCGACCGCGCCACAAATGATAGCTCAAAGAAGTGGCTCATCCTGTGGACAACTTATATCAGTCAAATACGTTGAACGCATGTCTGTAAATGTGAAGGGACAAAATAGAGGACCCGGAGAAAAATCCAACTTGCTCACGGGAAGAAAATGCAAACTCCAAACATACAGACAGTAGGGTCTGGATAGAATCCCACAACCTTCTTCATACCAGGCGAGGGAGAACATCTCGCCACCGCGACGCAGACGGGGACTAATTTCGACCAGTCTAGTACCCGCTTGCACAATGGATTCTATCTCTGCCATATTCAAGAACTGCACAAACAACCTTGGTTGCCACTGGCGGAGGACAATAGTCTGAGTCCATAATTGGCAATAAGTAACGGCAAAGCGGTTATAAGTGATTCACAGAATTGTGCGCAGTTGCGTATACAGTACACGGCTTCCCTGAAGGCAAACACCTTCAGCGAGCGTGATGCCGATCACACACAGTTCGAATTCGACCCTCGATCGATGGCTGCGCCATCGCCGCACACGCGTCGAATAAAAATCAAGGGACAGTTCCTTACTAACAACTCCTATCATTTTTTCATTGCTGGAGGAGTTGCCCCCCCCCTGCCTGAAAATCCTGGCTCCGCAATTGTTGGTTGCTACGCACCACCCTTCCTGCTCCTACCAAGGAGTGACGATCAGCTACCCCCGGGTGAGGGAGAGACCAGCACAGGTAAATCCAGACGAGCAGTAATCGGGGGAGCTCTGTAGTGCAGGGAGATCGAGACCTGTGCTGCTGGCGGGATGGTGACAGTCTCGCCAACCACCACCTGCACAGGTCACAACAAATATAGTCGCTCTCTATTCGGCGTCTCCACACGACTATTACAGAACACGTGTTGGACACCAAAGCAGGCCCCACCAAACGACCCTTCTCCTCCACCGACTGGTGCACATGAGCCAAATTGTCCATACCTCCACCAATTTCCGCCACTTAATGCTTCTGTACCGGGCATCTTTCTCAACATTTCCCAGGTCACATGTCACCCGCACACCAAACCCCTCCAAAGAGGTTGCCAGAACCGATGTTCCCGACGCAGTTGCTACCACCATCTCTTTATAGGCGGCTTGCAGGGTGGTCGTCTTCGACCCCGGAAGAGTGGAGTACAACGCTGTCACGGGTACACGTTCACACCGTATCCCCAGTTGTGATGCAGTGATGTGCAGCACATTTTCTTCGTGTGTGTTGGTGGGGCCGGGAGCTCTCTCATGCTGGCGGTTGTCTTGCTCGACAATGGCAGCTTTGATGCCCAAACAAAGGCAGCAACTGGTCTGAATCAGACTGATTTAAATCTGGGAAACAAAATGGTTGATAAAGACAGGTAGGGGTAATTGAAGCCCACAGGTGAAAACAGATGACCCACCGCTAATAATGATGCCGATGGTAAGGCAGCATGGGGCAGGGGGGGGGGGGCTGGCTCGGTATATAAAGGGCTTGAGCCAGAACAGATACATCGTGGACGACTGATGTGTTTTCAAGTGCGGGAGCGCAACATCAAACCAGAAACAGCCAGGGACAATACGTGCTGTAAGAAAAACATTACGCTCACTATAGAGAATGACAAAATAGTTTATTTGTGGGTGGAGGAGAGTCTATAATAAGGCTATGCTTGCAAGTGGGCCTGGTGGCAGTTCAGGCTGGAGAGCAGAGGGGCGCAGAATGTGTTGAAGCCTTGGACGAGAGAGGTTGCAACGGCAGGAGGTCCGGCAGAGAGAAAGCCAACATCCTTCCTGCAGCCCAACAGTTGGCCAGGAGATACAGCGACCTGCGGTGGCGCTCGTAATCAGGCGATATGCAGTCCAGAGGACTGAGACCTGTGGGGGATCTTGCACGAACACAGCGATAAACTGCCAGCTGAAGCCTCCGAGCTAGCCTCCCAGCGGAAGTTCAGTGAAGCGTATGGAGCTGCACAGAGCCATGCAGGGACTTTTGGAACGATGTGTGTGTCGGGATTGTGTAGGACCATAGGCATGAGTGAGGTTTTGACTATACGTCTTAGAAATATGACTTTGTGATTGTATTCCTCGGATGTGTGGCACCATTTGAGGCGCTGCCCACATCTAACTTATTGTGTGTGACCTGGTGGGAGCAACAAGTAAATTTCCAAGCCCTTGAAATTCCCTCTGACTTGGTCGGTGTGTCCCTGCTGTTGTGCCCACTGTCACCAACCCACAACAAAGATCACTCGGGTGGAACAAGTTTCGGTTTGAAGGGGGAGTCGCGTTCTGGGGAAACCTTGGGTGAATACACGATAGAGAACGCGTCACAACCACCAAATCTTTCCTGCCCTCGGTCGTGGGCAGCGCTCTCAACGCCCCCTCCTCTGTTCACGCCGCTTTAAAGCTCGTACAAACGCATCCCAACTCCCTCTAGCCAGCACGAAGTTCTCAACTTGCCCCAGCCGTTGAGGCAATCTCCGCAGGCCGGCCGGCGACAGCAGCAGCCACGCACGGGACACCCTCGGTCCTCTGGATAACTCCAGGGCCGTTCTGCTGCTTTGATGGCTGGTTGACCGCTGCCGTGATGTTCGCAGCAGCTCAGGAGTTCGTTCGGACAGCAGCGGCGGCGGAACCAGCTGCGAGTCGCTGTCCGGGGTGCTGAGTGGGCAGCGTTCGCCACTTCCTGTGGTGGTGGTGGCAGGGTTGAGGGTGACGGCGGTGGAGGCGCAGCCGGCCCGTCTCACTCGCTTTTCTCCTCCCTTGCTTCCCTGGACTCCCTCTGACAGGGTCTTCTTCTGCCAGAACGCGGTATGATGAAAAATCGCACCAACGCTGCCATCCTTTGAAAGGGAGTCCTCACGAGCCATCCTGGTAATGGAACTTTATTGTTTCCTTATCAAGACGATTCGTAGGGTTGGCTACGCAAGGTGCGAAATAAGTTCTACATACACACAACACACACACCCGTAGGAAGCTCGTTCTTGAGCCACGTTTCTTGTCTTGGAGCTCTGAACTCCTGAACTTCTGGAACAGTCCACAAGTCTCTCTCAGCCCCTTTTTGTTTCCCACCAAATATATCTTCTTTGGGTTTTCTCTGGTCCCCGATCTATTTTTTTCGCGCCTTTTTACCACTATCCTATTTATTTGTCTTGGGTGTGACCTATACATTTGCCGAACTAGCACCCAGTTCTTAAGAGGGTTCTTGCATATAACATCTGGCAGTTCAGCATTCTTTAAATTAAGCCTGGTTCTGCTGATGAGACACTGCTGAAATTATGCACTACCAGAAGGCCGTGGGGCTGATGGGTTTTGTATGAAAAGCTCTTATTCCTTTCATGTGGACAAACAAATTAAGATGGAAATAATAGCCTCCTTATATAGTCATATTCTTTGGGTCTTTCGGTACAGTATTTGTTAATTTTGCCCTTCCCATTGACTGAGGACCCGCCCTTACCCTCCCTTCCTTGCGTGGGCCCTCCCTTCTGCACTGGCCCCCGCCCCCTCTATACGTGTCCCCTCCCCCTTCACGCGTGACACCGCCCCCCTCCATACATGGCCCCGCCTCTCCCCACTTGGCCCCGCCCTCGCCGCCGGGTCTCGGATTAATGCAGAGACGAGAGGACTCGCGCGCAAAGCGCAGTAACACAGGCGCCTCCTCATCCCGGCTCCAGCCTTCTTATCCCGGCGCCAGCCTCCTCCACCCTCCTCCCCACGACCTCCAGGTAGGCGATGTCTGCAGCGGATGCGTCTGGAGGCGGTGTCACCATGACGGCGTGAATGAGCCGGCGACACGCCGCGCGTCCGTGTGTCACTGTCCGTGTTGTTGTGTCGGTGCGTGTCCGGCAGTGCGCACGCTGACACACACACACAGCGGTGCGCTCACATCAATGGTGTGCAGGCAGTGTGTGCGTCAAACGCACGCTGTGGGGAGCGGTGGCGCAGTGGTTAGCGCGCTGCGCTTCGAATTCAGTGACTCGATTTCGATTCCCGTTCACGACCAAGAACAGTGGCGGATGTTTGAACCTGGTGGCCCCCCTCCCCTCTAGGTAGACTCAGCCTTAAATGCGTACCTGGTGCGGTGTGTAAACGTCAACAATGGAGAGACAACGGCGGCCTTAATTGGTGCTCGCTCACATAATTTCCCCAACAGTCTATTCAGGCTATGGGGGGATCTTCGTCTTTGTATTTTGTCACGGTGCCTGCACCGACGACCACAGCTGCGCCGGGTGCAGGTGCAGAGGAGCCGTGGCACTGCCCGTGCACAATGCGTGATGCCGGGCGCCTGCTCGACTTGCTGCTGCTGCACTGCGATGCGTGCATGTGGATAGCGGACGGTGCCGCGTGTGCTGTTGGTGTGTCTGCACGTGCCCGATGTGTGAATGTTGCACATTGATAAGCACGCGGTATGTGCATGTATGATGTACACTGGGTTAGTACGGTTGCCCGTGTGTGTATGGAGAGCGGTCTGGGGAGTATGGCGTGTGTTCTTATACTACACATGGGGAGCGCGCTCCACTACGAACCCGGGGACTCGAGCTCGATTCCCGCTCACGGCCTCAACTGAGTACTTGGTGCGGTGTGTAAACATTATCACGAGGGAGACAAAGACGGCTGAGCGTCGGGCTGGACACATTCCCTCGTGTACCGTGGGAGCCTTCATCGGTGCTACTCGCTAACAACACTTGCCCCAACAGTCTGTTCAGGGCTATACGGGGGTCTTTGTGTTTTTTGCATTTAATGAGGGGGCTTGTTGTCTGTGTGTGTGTGTCAAGGCCGTAATTATAATATATATTGGGGGACACACATCCCCCCCAATATTCAAATATGCTCAAAATGTCCCCCCCAATATATTGTTATAACATAGATTTCTGTTTATATTATTATGGTTATGGTTGTACTTGATTAATCCCTAATCTCTGCCATTACAAACAATGGAACAAGAAAAGGTAAAAAAAGAAAAAAACAGAGCAATGTAATCCAATACACTATTAGACATTATTGTAAAAAATAAAGAAAAAGTCCATCCCCATGTGTTAGTGATTTTTTTATATTTTAGGAAGGAAATGGCAGGAATTTCATTTTCAAATGTAGATTTTTTTCTGGGGGGGATCCCTAGACCCTCTGGAAGATTTGGTCCCCCCCAATGTTGACTCCATGGCTACGGCCTTGGTGAGTGTACACGAGTTTATGAATGAATAGCAGTTTGCATATTTTTTATCACGGTTGCAGAGCAAGGTCACAATGCCAAGCAGCCAGCAACAAACAGCTATATTGAATGTATATTAGATAAGAAATAATATGTTTCCTGAATGAAGAAAGGTTACACGAACGCCAAAGAGACGATGGGAGGGAATTACAAATTGGAGCAGTGTGAGGAAAGCAGCAGAAAGACGAAGTATGTATGATCTGCAGTGTGTCTGAGTGAGTGGATGAGTGAGTGTGTGAGTGGATGAGTATTTGAGAGTGTTGTTGTGACCAGCAATATGGTGGTAGAACACTGTGGATGAGACGAAACAGTCTGGTAGATAGTCATCGACGTGGATGGAGGAATGGAAACAATTACGTTCATGGGAACAGTAACCCTGGTAGTAATAAGGAGGCGACTGTCTTTAATGATCTTCAAGATGATGGGCAGGCCCAGGTAAAGCTGCGTGGCTGGCAGTCAGAGCCATTCATGTTCATCTTGCGGTGCGACAGGGATGTCCTCTGGCCCCTACACTAATTCACATTTTATCTGACTAAGTAGTTAAATAATATGTCCATGACTGTACCAGAGAAAATTCCATCTGGTACAGATATAATGGGAGGCTAATCGATGCCCGGGTACAGTCAAAGGATGGCTCTCTCTTGGTCAACCATGTTATGTATGCTGATCAGGAAATTGCTGCTCACTCAGAAGAAGTTGGAGACAACTGCTGAATCTGGAGCATGCTACTTATGGATAGGACCTTACCATCAGCCCCATAAACAAGGCACCTGCCTGGGTTATTTGTTGTCAAATACTCCACCCCCCATGAGTGATGTATCAATCGTGGCGAGAGTGGAGAGGTTTCTGTATCTGGGTAGTGTGCTTTTGGCCAGCTCCGTTATGGAAGTGGTCTCACTTCAAAGCAGTCTAACGACATCTTTTCGCGGAAGCTAGGTGACCTATTCATATGAAGTTCTGGGACTTTTCAGCCACCATTATGCCCTCCCGTTCCTATACTTTCGAAACGTGGACCCCTTTAAAGAAACAGCTGGCCTGTCTTCGATCCACCCTAGTTTTAGTCAGACTGAATTGTGTGAGGAGGTTAAAGTTGCTTGGAAGACCTGGACAGTCGCATCATAGAGCTCCTCCAGCAGGCGAGGCTATGTTGTTTGGGTAATGTAGCCCACATGCCCAGCCACCGCATGCTTCTGTTTGGGCAGAGAGAGAGGGCCGAATGGGCACAGCACGGGCTAGAGAAGAGATGGGCTGATGTGGTACAGGAGGATGTGGAGCTAATTTAACTTAAATTTCGATTTAAAGCTTTCGTGACTGCAGGGATTCATCTTCTTGGTTCTTTCGGTAAAGTCACGTAAAATGGAAATAATAAAATAATAAAATAAAACATAATAAAATAATTCTCACGACGTTTCGGCCACAACGCAAGCAGCCGTCCTCAGGTGAAGACCAGGTCTGTCGGGGAGACAGCGTCTGAATGGTCTGAATGGATGCTGTCTCCCCGACAGACCTGATCTTCACCTGAGGACGGCTGCTTGCGTTGTGGCCGAAACGTCGTGAGAATTATTTTATTATGTTTTATTTTATTATTTTATTATTTCCATTCTACGTGACTTTACCGAAAGAACCAAGAAGACTAATTTAACTTGCCGATAACAGGTACCAAGATCGATCCCTGTGGAGGAGGCTCGTGAAGGACGCTCCTGGGCAGTTGGAGGCAGTCGCCCTCCAACAACAGTCGAGGGCAGAGGAACGGCACTTGTGGGGGCCGACGTACACCCCACCGCCCTCGCTAGGCAGGTGGGGCGCGATGTCCACCCCTTCCGCTCCCTCCTCCACCACGTCGGTCGGCTCCCGCCAGGCCCCCGCCGACCGCGTGATCGGGCCCCCCGCGCTAGCGCCCTCTCTGAGCGACATACTCGTGCTGCTGGCTCACAGCCGCACGGAGTTAAGCCACACACCTGCGTACACCACAGCTAATGCTAATGCAGCGTACAGTGGCACGCTCGCGCCGCACCTGCGAGCGATTACCTCACCGCGTGCCCGTGCTGCGGATCCGCATTCACCCTCGCAGCGCATTTCCCCACGCAGTCGCTCTACAAATAAATCACAGACACCACACCGATGCTCTGTGCTAACTTTTATTCGCGTCGCAAACCCCGCCCTGCCCGGAGGGAATATTCTGAAGCAGAGCCTAGCCTACTGCTGCCCAAGTCCCCAAATACTCACACGCCCTATCACATACCTCGCCGCTGTACTCACGGCGTCGCACGGACGCTGTGAGAGTCAGAGAAAGGAAAAAAACCCTTGCCTATCACTGCCTCATAGCAGCACTTGCTGGCATCACACAGATGCTGCGAGCGGCTCGAGAAGGCAGGATGGCAGGGAGTGAATCTTGGCGCCCCAGAGGTGGAAGACAAGATCTCCCCTGAACGGTTTCAGGCTTCCCTATTTATCCCCCCTGACATTAAAAATCCAGGGTTACATTATCCCGCGCAGCCAATTGTGCGCCTACCTGTGATTTTTGCTTGGTTTCCTTCCCTTATATGGAGTGCTACGACGGTTACTTCTGCGACCTATTGTCTACCCACCCATACTCATTAATTTCTTACTCATCCTGTTTAATCTGGAAGGACGTCCGGCTGGCGAATGGACACCTTCCTCGTGTGTTGCAGTCTGGGGCTGGGGGAAGTTGTGGCGCCGCAATCCCCTGACCTCATGGTCTGCTCTGCTTGCTTAATTTTCCACCCCAGCCCCCCGCCCCCCCGAAGTCGTGCATTACTCATTGCGGCTGGCAACGTGAACCTTTTTGCGCCCATACAATTTTAAGCCAACTCAGGCGCACCGCAATGTGACCTGTCCTGCGAGGGTCGGCCAATCTTCTGGCACCCAGAAACCATGGGACTTTCCTCCTAGGGACCCTTCGGATTAAAACCCGTTGTGCCAGGCAATTCCCTGCCAGGACACTGCGTGTGTGCGCTGCGTGTGAATGCTCAGTGTGGGGTCCAGGGTGGAGTCGCGGCGCTTGCAGAGTTGCTCCGAGGCCGTGGCACCACACACTCGCAACGAGTGGAGCGCCGGGCAGCATAAACGCAACCAGGTTGGTTCTTTTGGTAAAGTCACGTAGATAGAAATAATAATAATAAAAACCACGACGTTGCGATCACAACACACGCGATCATCATCAGGAGGAAAACAGAGGGGAAAGCTGCTAAAAGCAGACTGTTTTAAAGGTTTAAAATGGGTGTAGCCCAAGGGTCATAAACGAAGTGGGCGGGGCGAGTGATGTTAATGTGAGAAATTAGCATGTTAATGTAAGATCGGAGAGTGGCCTCCACAGCGAGCATGCTTAGGTGGCTATGTTAATATGAGAGATACCCATAACGCCTGTGTTTGTCCCATGACCTCCTGACAATGAGCCTTACACACTTTACACAGCCTCGATGTGCATCTCGTTTGGCACAAGCGCTGTGGTGACCTTGCCTTAACTAAGTGGTGATTGGTGCTTGTTGTTGATGG